ACTGGAAGGGCTGATGCTGAAGGTGAAGCTCCAATACTGTGGCCACCTGATGCGAGGAGCTGACTCACTGGAAAAGACCCTGATGCTGGAAAGACTGAAGGCAGGAGGAGATGGGGATGACAGAGGATGAGATGATTGGATGGCATCACTGACTCAACGGACATGAGTTTGAGCAAACTCCAGGAGGTGGTGATGGACAGGGAAGCCTGGTGTGCTGCAGTCCATGGGGTTGCAAAGAGTAGCACATAACTTAGCAACTGAACAACAACAAACGTTCTGGGACCTGGCCCAGATGCTATCGCATCAAGATAGCTGACTGTCAGACCTTGAAATATGTGATTTTAAATGAACTTTCTAAGCGATTCTGATGCTCCTGGCCTCATAAGCAGAGTGATGAACAGTGCTAACTACAGAATACACACTTTCCATATGGAATGTGAATTTTCTATAGTGTGCCTAGGCGGACAATATTATCACATTCATGGGTAAGTTTCAGTTTGTCTTATTTTCCTGGGTAATGAAACCTCATGATTTCCCTGTCTTCATACTTCATGAGCCCCTCATTATATATATTATTATTGGGCAGGCAGGTAGGTGAGATGGAGTTAGAGAAAAGAGCACAAAGTGGGATGCGAAGGTCCAAGAAGCAGAAGGATGTCAGAGCCTGTCTGGGCTTCCCGCTGGCAGAGGCAGCTTGCAGTCAGAGAGAGATGCTATGCTGAGCTGCTTACCATGGCAAAACCAACGTCTGCCTTCTTCAGAGCCGGCCCGTCATTGGTGCCATCACCGGTGACAGCCACCACCTGCCGCTGGTCGCCGACAGTGCTGTCAATGATGCCTGGGGAGACAGGTGCACCGCAGTGAGGTAGGGGGCCGCTTTCCCACAAAAGATGCTTTTCTGGCCTTCCTCTCTAATCCCTGTCACCACCTCTGTTTTTACACTCTTTCCTTCTTTTTTCCCTATGCTGGAGGTTTTATAGCGTCACCAAATGGCAGTAAATTGTTTCACAGGTAGCAATCTAAGCTAAGAAAGTCTAACCTCATCAGATATCCTGTCTGGTACATCAAGACAGCTATCATGCAGTCGAAAAAGCACTGCATGATTTGAAGGCAGAGACCCAGAGGTTGAACAATAACATTTCCATTTACCAGTTGGGCAATTTGGATAAGTTACGTGTTGTCTCAGCCTCAAACTTTCTTTTTTGCAGAATGGGAAGAGCTTAACCTGTATTGCCTAATTCCCAGTACTATCGACAAACAAGATATGATAATGTTTAAAAATGACTTCATCATATAGCTTATACTCACCAGGTGCTCAGATGTTTGCTAACCTGCATGTTCTTCCCATGAGCTGGGAAGCTCTCCTAGGCCTCCCTATTCAGGACGAGAGAGTTGCTTTGGCTTTGGTTCTTTATCTGTGCTTGCCCTGGTCTGCCTTCCTCTATCCCAGGCACCTGCTCAGGAGCCGACCTCACCTTTCACCAGCGTGTGCTTGTCAGTGGGGGAAGACCGCGCCAGCACTCGGAGCTTAGGCCAGATCTTGTCCAGCTTTTCCTGCTCTACCTGCAACAGCAGACACACCTGGGTCAGTCAAGCTCAGAGCAGCTGCCAGGAAAGTCTCCACACGTGCCAAGCTCCTGGGGCAGCTGGTGTCCCATGGCCCCCCAGGAGAGTGACCCTGGCCTCCAGCGGAGGCGAAGCAGCCAGCTTGGCTCCGAGGGCGGGTCCACAGATGCTGACCATTCAGGCCCTGCTTGTCTCCCTTTCCTCCCAACTCCCTCCCTGGGAGCCAACCCCTAGTTTTGAGCCCCTGACGGAAGGCGGGACCCTTCACTGTTGGCTGAAGTAGTGCCTCTGAGGTCTCAGCTTCAGTTGCTACTTAGACCAGTAGCTGTGGCCTTCCCACACCCAGATCGTACCCTGTCACCGATCCGAGCCCCTGCCAGTCACAGGGCAGTGACACGGGAGGGGTGGGGTAGAGGAAAATTGGGACAAAGGCATCCCACGACTGGAGAAAATGGAGAGGTATGAGGAGTCTCAAAAGATAGCTTGTGAATGAATACAGTGAGAAGAAAAAATTCCCAATTTTACTGTCTGAGCAGCTTTGGTAAAAGGCACGTCTCACTATGAACAGATTTTAATTTAAAAACCATCTACTTTCTCCCACCTGTCCTGGATGCCTTACACACGCATCAGCCCTCCCCTAATGAAGGAGGCTCTGATTCCCACCACCTAAAGCTCACCTCGCCCTTCTCGTTTCGGATGAGGCGATTGAATTCTTTGCCTTCTAAGCACAGAAAGTCGTCCCCAGGTGTCACGATGCCACACTTGGTGGCGATGGCACGGGCTGTGTTGATGTTGTCCCCTGTCACCATCCTGACAGTGATGCCAGCTCGTTTGCATTTGGCAATAGCTTCTGGCACCTGCGGAGGGTGAAGCAAGTGGAAAGGAGAAGGTGGGGGTGGTGAGGCCTGGTCACTGGCTTCTGTTCAGCTGTCCCTTCACTGTGGACAGGAGAGAGGCACCCTGGAAGTAGAACCGTGGGGTCCAGGCCGAGTCTGGTCAGTTCTATATTGCTTGGTGCCACCTTACTTCTGACCTACCCATGAAACTCACATTTGAATTTGCCTTATTGCACCTTATTGCCTCCCTGGTGGCTCAGATGGTAAGGCGTCTGCCTGCAATGCGGGAGACCCAGGTTCAATCCCTGGGTTGGGAAGATCTCCTGGAGAAGGAAATGGCAGCCCACTCCAGTATTCTTGCCTGGAGAATCCCACGGATGGAGGAGCCTGGTAGGCTACAGTCCATGGAGTCGCAAAGAGTCAGACACGACTGAGCAACTTCACTTTCTTTCACTTTATTGCACCATGAGTTGAGGGCTTCCCAGGTGGCACCAGTGGTAAGGAACCCGCCTGCCAATTCAGGAGACATAAGGTTTGATCCCTGGGTCGGGAAGATCCCCTGGAGGAGAGCATGGCAACCCACTCCAGTATTCTTGCCTGGAGAATCCCATGGACAGAGGAGCCTGGCGGGCTACAGTCCATGGGGTTGCAGCGCCAGACACAACTGAGTGACTTGGCATGAAGGCATGCACCACGAGAAGAAGGGGAAATCTGCTTCAGGAGCCAGGTGTAAAAGCTTATTCTCTCACTTACAATCTAGATTTCTTAGCGGGGCACACTAGACCTTTTGAGATTTTGCCTCTGCCTTCCTTTCCAGCAGAAGTCTTCCACCCCTGGCACATACTCCAACCATATCAGTTCTTTTAAGTTTCCAGCTGCATGACACCCTGTCATGCCTCCAACAGTTGAGAGTACTGCTGAGCTACTCTACAGGTGCCTGACAAGAACGTGTTGATTGAAAGGACATGACCAGGGCCAAAGCTGGAGTCTCAATTAATTCCATCTCCTCACTATTCTTGAGTGCCAAACTGTTCTTATTAGCCCAGTAAAACCTATGTTTCCCACCCCTCTGAGGGCATGACCCACAGGCAGCGGGACTGCCACTTTCCATTAGTTCAGTACGCTACAGTAGTTCTGTGAAGCAGGAAGCACAGAAACATCTATCCCAGCAAATGAGAAGCAGTTAGGTGACTTGCCTAAGTTTCCTAAGTCACAGCTAGAAACGGAGCTGGTACTGCAGTTCCTCTAACTCCTGTGTGGCTGCTCATTAGGTCACAGCAGGCCAGTGCGGGGGCTGCGGCCACTGGCAGCCTCCCCTTCATGCTTCCCAGCCCCATTCCTGAGTCAAAGCCTCACCTCCGGGCGCACAGGGTCCTCGATGCCCACCACTGCGATACAGGTCAGCTCAGTGAGGATCTCGCTCTCATTGTCCCATGGGGGCTCTCCATCATTGAAATCCCGGTAAGCGATGCAGAGAGTCCGCAGTCCCTCACAGGCCATGGGCTCAATGACGGTGCGGACCATCTCATCTCGGTCCTTATTCTTGAATGGCACTGCCTCCCCCTTTTTGTCCAGGATTCGATTACACCTGGGAAGGTGCACAGTCAGAACGCAGCACCCCACCTCCCGCCCAGTGTGCTTTGACACGTTACAGACACCCTGACCACTCCGCGTGACTCCTAAAGACACTACTATGTGGCCGTCAATCTCCACTTATCACCCAAAGCGGAGCCCCTGTATCCAAGGTGGGGTGGCTGATAGGTGGGCAGAACATATCGCTCTTCCCTGTTGTCTGCGCCTATTCATCTGGGAACGCAACACCGAGTCATTCGTGGGTCGTCTGCTCTTTTGAGCTTCTCAGTGGTAGAGAGACCTTCTCAATCCCCAGTATATAGAGGGCTCAGGGCAGAGGGTGTGGGCAATGACAAAGTGTCATCCATGCTGGGGCTAAACCCATGCTGGGGCACTGGGTTTTAGCTACTGGCCCTATATCCACACAGGTCAACTTTAATACCCTATGGACCATCTGGCCACTTTGATTATGCAACTTCCTGTGATCAGAACCGAGAATGAAAAGGAAAAGGAAGACAGAACTAACATTTCTAGTGCTTACTATGTGCAAGGCATTTTTCATACACGGAATCATTTAATCCAATGATTAAACGTAGGATACGTGGATGTCATCTCTTCAGAATAGGAAAAGGAAGCATGGATTGCGTAGGTCTGAATCCTGCCTGTGCCACTACCCGCTGTGTCACCTCTGGCAAGTTACTGAACTTCACTACACCTGTCTCCTCATCTGTAAAACAGGGACAGTGACAGCATCTGCCTCCCTGAGTTGTGAAGTGTAAGTATAGTATCCAAAGCACACAAGCGCTTGGCCAGAGCCAAGCTTAGGTTTTGTCACGGTGTTGCCCCCCCGGAAGGAGGGCCCGCTGCTACCCGGTGGCTCAGCGCGGGGCTGACAGCCAGACCTCCCTGCGGGGCGACGCCGGGGCGGCCGCTGGGGGGCTCACTTGCGCAGGATGATCTCGGAGGCGCCCTTGCTGTACATGCGGAAGCCGCCGCCCGGCCTCTCAACGACCGTGCTCATGGACTTGCGCACCGAGTTGAAGGTGTACACCTTGTAGAGCTTCTCCTCCGGCACCTCGCTGCGCACGGCGTGGTAATCCTGCTTCAGGTCCGCGACGAAGCCCAGCAGGGCGCACTCGGTCTTGTTGCCCACCTGCCGGGGCAGGCCGCCCTCCTTCTCGGGAGGCTGGGAAGAAACGCACGGGTGGGAGGGCTGGGCGAGGGGCCAGCCGGGATGGGCTGCGAGGGGAAGGGCTCCCTCCGGAGGCTGTCGCGCGTGCGCCCGGGGCCCACGGGGGCGTGCGCCATGGCCGTGATGACGTGGCCCGAGCCACGCAGGGCCTGGCGTCTTTTTAGCCGCCATGGGGCCGGTGCTGCTGGTGCCTCTAACACTCTTTCTTGGCTTCCAGGAACTAAGTGATTTATTCGTGATAAGCTCAATTCTGGTACCAGCATGAGGCCTCTTTTTAGAGATAGTGCCTTTTAGAGATAATGTGGTGATTTCACAGCCACAGATTCCTACCTGCCTCACACCCCCACCCCATCTCCCAATCTACTTTCACAGATTATTTCCTAGTCTCACCCCCAGCACGTTCACTGGGGACTGGGAAATGGGATGGCAATTCAGGCAGAATAAGCAAGAGAAAATCAATGGTTCCTTCCAACTACCCACTTTAACTGTCCTGGCAAAAGAAGAGCTTACCAGAATCTTAGAGGTGTAGGCACTGTTGATGGAAATACCGTTGACAATAAGGTCCAAGACCTTGGGCACAAGGTCCTCAGGGTTTGGGATCTGATGGTAACGAGTGTCTCCAACATAGGCCTGCACCACGGTCATGCGGTTCATGGTCAGCGTGCCCGTCTTATCAGAGCAAATGGCTGTGGCATTGCCCATGGTTTCACAAGCATCCAAGTGCCGCACCAGATTATTGTCTTTCATCATTTTCTACAAAGGAGAATAGATAAGACTTGAGAGGGGACCAACTGAGCTTTCCAAAATATAGGTCAAAGGCCATTTCCTAGCCAGCAACTCTCCACATTTCATTTTCTGCTCCCATACAAAAATGCAAGATATCATTTTTGTAAATCCTCTTAAGATGCTACTGGGTTAGGTAAACATTGATGCAATTGATCCAGGTGGTCCTTCCAAAGTGCCAGTGGCTTGTGCTCCTGGAAGGCATCCCCAAGAGTTTACAAAGACAAAGTGGCCATCCTTTTACCAGAGCTACTTGGGGCCCTTCCCCCTGGTCTGTGTTCTGAAAGAACAGAGTCTCACCCCGTCTCACCTTCACAGAGTAAGCCAGTGAGATGGTGACGGCCAGGGGCAGCCCCTCGGGCACAGCCACTACCAGCACTGTGACGCCAATGATGAAGAACTTGACAAAGTACTGGATGTAGATGGGGGTACACTCGGCCAGCCATGGTCTGCCCTGGATCACAAAGTTGTCGATCACGAAGTACAGAATCAGGATGAGAACTGTGATTGCAGACATGATCAGACCTGTCCAGGAAACAAATCACGTGAACCCAGGCTTGAGGGCATTCCTAGGGCTCTAAGCAGAGACAGATATCTATCTCGTCATACCCCAAGGCCCTAGCTATTCTCTGGTACTTGTACATTATGGTGCAGGCGAAAGACATGGTTTTGCATTCTAAAGACATGGGTACTAGTTTCAGTGCTGTACCAACTTGACTCGTGGCTTTGGACTGGTCTTGACCCCTCTCTGAGCCTATTTCCTCATTTATAAATAAGGGGGTTGGTCTAGTTTTCCAAAAACAGCATTTTAACATTCTATCTCAGAGCTACTATCTTCCCACAAATCATAATGTAGTGACTACTGTTAACTCTTTCCTAGTAGTTTATTGACTTCTCTAGTAGACTGAGAATGTCAGGGAATTCACAACATGTTCACAGTGATGCCCCATGGGTATTAGCACAACACCCACATAACTAATCCTTAGAAGAGTGCCTCCCAGCCTTTCTCCTGACGTGGCACAGACAGAAGATGACAGCAATGCAACTGTTAGGGTAGTGCTTACTATGAGCACTTCAAGGTAGTAACTCATTAATCCTCACAACAACCCTGTGAGACAAGCTACTACTATGATCCTCTTTTATGAGGCAATGAGGGCACACCAGCGGGGACCAAGCATCCTGGTGTGCCTGAGGCTGAGCAGGGTCCTGGGCTGTGGGGCTTTCAGTGCTGGAACTGAGAAGTCAAGCAAACTGTGATAGCTGCTCATCCTACACATCCTACAATGGAAGAATAAGCTCTGGGTCAGAAAACAACTGGCTTGGGGGCTCCAACGGCCTTACGTATTGCCTGGCTACTCTGAGAGCTGAGGGATCAATACTTGGGCACCTGTGTCTACCTGTGACACAATATCTGGGAAGAGTTCTGCATTCTGATTCATATCTTTGCTTTTCCTGAGGGCCCAATGATTCAGGGAAATCAGAGCAAGGCTAGAGGTGATTATATCAGTGAAGGCATATTCAGGGTCAGGACAAGCAAGGCACTGAGCAAGGGTGCAAACTTTAGGAGGCCTCACTCTCAGGGTAGTGCATTCCCTGCGTCGTTCTGGTCCTTGGCCTGGCTTGATGTGGGATGTCCAGAGACCAGTGACTAGCCCTCAGTGGCCTGTTCTCCCTAAAGAATAAGGTGGGGATTAGCAGCATGACAGGAGGCCTTAGGCAGAAGTGTTTGATGCTTCAAACCTGTGTGCCAGGCTCAATGAACTGATTTCATACTTCAATTTTTCTTGTTCATCTGTTGTCTATTTGCAAGGATTTTCATGGTGGTCAAAATTAGCTGGGTACTGGAACTGAATGACGAGGCCCAGCTGACGCTCTGCAGAAGTCTGTGATGCTCAAAATGCTCTCTGTTTGCACTGTCCAATAGGGAGCCACTGGCCACATGTGGTGACCTGAAACAGGGTAATGTGGCCGAGGAGCTGAATGCCTAAGTGGATCGCTGTAGGTTCTTGCTTCTCACTTGTGCTCAGCAGAGCAGCAGCGCTGGCATCACCTGGGGCTTGTTAGGAACGCAGGTCCCACCCAGGCTGCTTGAATCAGAATCTGCATTGTAACAAGATCCCAGGTAAACAGTACACAGAGAGATGTATTGGGCTAGACTCTGTAGTGAACACAGAGGTGGGGTCAGGAAGTAAACAGAGGGAGAAGACTGCTTGGAGGGATACCCGCTGAGGGAGCAGTCTTCCTTTTGTTGCCTCTTCCAGCTCCGTCCCTCCCCGCCCGCCTCCCCACCACCCTCTCCAGAGTTAGGCATGGAGAAGCTGTTTCCTCTCATGATGCACAAGAGCACCTTTAGTGACTCTGCTCTGCAAAGCACCTCTTTAATCATTGTCTTCCTTTGCCTTCCAGTCCTCATTTTGAACTGACTACTCTGTGCCCAGCCATTCCTATGCTAGATAATTGCTCCCAGCCAACAGCAGCCTTCTCTATCCTTCAGGAATTTTCAAGCCAATACTTGAGCAGGTGAGTAGTTATTAAAGTCTTTCTTCTTGCTAATGTTAATCTCCCATTTGTTTTGGGCCTTTAACCCTAAATAGGAAGACATGTCTCTCTGCTAAAGCCAAGGATCCAACAGTCTCAGGGAGGGACACAGATTATTGAATTGTACCACCCACTTGGAATTTTTGGCTCCTTCCTGCCAGACCTGGTTGGTATAGAAAGGAGGCAATCAAAGCGGTGAGGACCCAGAGTAAGACTGACCAACACACTGAGAAGACTCCACCCTACTCACCAGCTTTCCCAATCTGGACGGCCAGGCGAGTCAGCTTGCCCTGAAGCACAGACTTCTCCTTTTTGGGCAGCTTGGCGGCCTTCTTCTCCTTTTCCTCACTGTCGATCCCCTCCTGGCTGTTGAGTGGCTGGATTTCCAAGGCCACTCCATCTTGGGTCTTTGCTAGGGTGCACACACGAAGAGGACAGGTCAGCAGGCCAGGCAGTAGCCCTGAGTAGTAGGCAAGGGGAAACTAACAAACCCTTCTGTCTGTTTCTGGAACACACCTTGGACCTCTGACATCAGATCTGACCTCCCTCACCCCATGCCAGACAGGGAGCTTGACCTTCTCTTAGGGCCTTGGGAATATGGTATCTGAACAACTGGAGGTGAAATGGATGGATCTCCTCCTCAGTGGCAGCTTCCTGGCGCTGTCTCAGAGCCCTGAGCCAGCTTTATTCCAGCAAAAGGATTTGTCCTGCCACTGAGTGCTATTATCTACAGCCATCCTTCTTGGAATTCAGTGCTTAGAATAGTGAATCTTTACTGCAGAAAGGGGCTGAAGCAGAAGGTTGGTAAATGTTCCTAGAGCATAAGGGTCTTGTTGTTTAGTTGCTAAGTCATGTCCAACTCTTTTGTGACCCCATGGACTGTAGCCCACCAGGATCTTCTGTCCATGGGATTTCCCAGGCAAGAATACTAGAGTGGGTTGCCATTTCCTTTTCCAGGAGATCTTCCCAATGCAGGGATCAAACCTTATGTCTCCTGCATTGGCAGGCAGTTTCTTTACCACAGAGCCACATGGGAAACCCAACAGGGTCTTAGTGGGCTCTTTAAAAGGTTCCCCTCTCTCTCTACGTAGGTATAGACTGTCATGGAAGAAACACAGACCCCAGGCACAGGGTATTTTCCAGTTCCCTCTTATATTAGTTGAACAATAGGGGAAGGAAATCTCCTTTCTCCCCTGATGAAGGTAGGGAGGTACAGAGTACCTTTCCCTAAGGGAAGAAGTTGGTGTGAGGGACTCCCTGGAACAAGAGAAGGCAGGGATAAAGACAGACATCGAAATCCATTTTTGCTTTAAAAAGAAGAGTTAAAGAGAGCTGAAATTTAAGAATTACTTTTGTTGAGTCCTGGTTTTCCAATGTGATGTCTTTATTTCGAAAACCTACTATGATGTGGGTTATGAAAGGAAAAAAGTCTCCAGGAGCTGTCTCAAAAGAGCAGGTCCTACTGGTCCCCAGCACCCCTCCAACTTCACCCTGCAGAGCTCTGCTCCTTTGGTTAGGTGCCCTTCCTGAGAGATTGTCTCTGCTGTCAGACTCACAAATAAGACAGAGACAGGATGTAAACACAGCCACCAAAAGAGAATCACACATCAGATTAGGAAGAAGAAATCAGACTGTGGAGAGAACAGAGAAGTGGGGAAAGAGCTTACAGACAAAGGGCTATCTGCACCCAGAGAAGACTAGCTGAGAAGGGTCTGGACGGAAAGACGGCACCAGAAGAGGAAGAAGAGGGTGCAGGGACTGCCCATCCCAGCCCCTCCCCACAAGGACCCTGAAGGCTTCCAACCCAGAGACTAGCGATCCTTGCTCTTTAACTCTGGCCAAGGGCAATGAAGCAAGGAGGTCAGCACCCTGGGAAGAGCAGATCACTGCACAGGCTTCCCGAGAGAAATCTTGACAGGAGGCCCCTTGAGCTAACAGCAGAGGGTGCTGCTGTCCCACCTTAGATTGGGTTTGGCAGCTTGGTACCACCCCCAGATCTCTGCACCGTCCTCAGGATGAGGCATCTGGGCCACAGGAGCAGAAAACAGATTTATGGAGAGGAACAGGGGGAAGGCAGATGGCCTGGAAAAGTCTGGTTTGAGTGTGAGCAGGTAGAGATGGTAAATGAGTGAGTGGAAAGGTTACCTTTGTTGCGATTTTCAGGGACTCCTTGTTTTTTACCTGTTTGAACAAGAAAGAAAAAAATGGGGTGGGGACCCAAAATGACTATTCAGAGATCAGATATCCAATTTGCTGGTCCTGTTCAGAGCCTAAAAGGGCGACAGCAAAGGGTCTGAGTTGTAGTGAAGGGGATGTAAAGGAAGCTCACACCTCTATTTATCCCCATTTTTATTAGAGGCTCATCACAAATCCCTAGGGTATCAACTAGGTCACTCATGCAGGGGAGTGCACACCCCCTTCTGAGCTGCTTTTTCCTGGAGCACAGTTGCTATTGGGAGGTGCTTCTGGCCTGAGTCAAACCACTTGGAGAAATGGGGTGGGGGTTAGGAAGTGAGAGGTCTGAACTGTTTCCGCCTGGTGGCAAAGGCCGTGCAAGGTGCCTACATGTCAGCTCATCAGCACCAGGCAAGCCTTCATGTTATTCACTCTGAAGGCAGCTGCAGAAATAGTCTGCTTCCTAACTGAATGAGCTTTGTTGCCTTTTCATTAACTGCCCTTCCCTAAACAGACCAAGATGCTCCTCCAGCCAAATGGTACAAATCCTTCTCTCCTCCAAGAGAAGGAATGCTTAGGGAAAGGTGCAGATTTGGTTTGTTATCTTTCTGCCTTCTGTTTTTCCTTCTTTCAGGAATAGTTCAGTTCAGCTCAGTCGCTCAGTCGTGTCCGACTCTTTGCGACCCCATGAACTGCAGTATGCCAGGCCTCCCTGTCCATCACCAACTCCCGGAGTACACCCAAACCCATGTCCATTGAGTCGGTGATGCCATCCAACCATCTCA